CAGGTTGGTCAGGTGAAGAAGCAAGTAGCGGAAGAGAAGAATAATCTCTATAGAAAAAGTTGAGTATAGAACTTGTTTATTCAAGTAGTGTATATGCTAGTCAAAGTTTCACGCATATGCTTCAGTGATCTAATAAATAAATTATAGTCATGAATAATAAAGATCTTAAATCGATATTTTTCAGATTCAACATTCGACCCTTACTGCAAAATGAAAAACTGGAGGCAAATCTTGGTCGTCCTGCTGACCCTATTGGCATTACAAGTAAGTGAACAACCCATATCACTAGAAAAAACTTTGAAATGTAGACAATTATTTGTGCTTGGTTTTGTTAGTTCCCATAAAATACACTCGCATGAAACTATTAAATTGGCTACCTCTTGAATTTTAGATTTAATTCCTTTAATGAACCGGTTTACTGCGACAAAACAAAATTGAAAATATCAAAGTTGATGTATGCTTTAAACGAGGTCATGTGCCACTTGTTGTGTAAATGCGTCGAGGTAGAACCTCGACCAAAAGTCCGTCCCTCTGCATGACTCCTCCAATTCGTGGATGAACAGACGCTTTGCCTGATGTTGCTGCTTGATGCAACCTCGACCTTTTTTCGCATGTTCATTTGAAAATCTCATTCGTGCTACTTCAATGACGGGCATTCCATCATTCTATGTAGATAATATTCCACGGACGAGGTTTATCACGGTCCGTTTACTTGAATTTTCTTCTTACAGGTCACTGGATTGCCGATTCACAACGATGATCCCGACAACTCATGCAGTCAGGAAAAATTACAGGGTAATGCGCAATATATCACCAAATTGTACATAAACTTTATCTGGAACTTTATGGGCCGTATATGTGTGGTAGAAAAAGTATAGAGATATTCAATTGAATAGGTAATATGATTCATAACATAGGAACATGGAATATCTGTCTCATATCAGAACATATAACTTGATTTTGAAATATGAGCGATGACGGGTTGTATTTGTCGATATTTTACTCATTGGCTTGCGCTGCTGGCGTATCACTTAGAATATTTCCTCTTTGTTATGATTTTAAACAATTTTAAAGTTAATCTAATTTCCTTTCGTAGCGATGCTTGCGAAATGCCAGAGCCCGTTGGACGACGTGACAAGAGTGATCACCAAGTTCCCCGACGGTCAGCAGCGCTGCGGGTACAGAGTTCTGAACATCTTCCCTGACCCTCACATTGTTGATGATGAGAGCCTCGTGGCCTTGAAGGAGGAGAAGAAGAAGCTGCCTCCTTGCAGCAAATGCGAGACGAAAGTTTTCCTGCTGAACGGTGAAGGGAACGTCATACAAGGACCAGTTACTGAAAGGGAATTCACCGAACCTGGAGGTAGTTGAATTTTTTTTTCAACTTCCATGCAATATGAATATTGCATTCCGCATAACCGAAAATATTGAGGAGAAAGATAGAAATAATTTATTAAATATCTCTGTTCACTCAAATGGAATGGCAGAAGTTGTTCTTATTCGACTCCGGTTGAGTCCGCAACAAAGTTGCCTAGTTTTCATTATTAAGAAACACTTATTTAATAAATTTTTTAGCTCCACAGGCTGTTTCGGACGTCAACCTGAAGGCCGAAAACGACCAGGCAATTTCAGTGGGATGGCGTTATCCTCTACCAGATTGCCCTCTCGTTAGTTTCAGTATTACCTATGAACGCTTCGACCTGAACGACTTGACCCCGCCTAGGGAACTTCAAACCTTTGTGGTTAATGGCTTGACTCATCGCCTGAGCAATGTGGAGCATCACTCTCTTTATGAAATTTGCATTACTACCTTGATTGGAGAAGAAAAGAGCACGAAAACTTGCGCCAAAATTCCAACACAGCCCAAAAGTAAGATTTACCAGGAAGTTCCAAAATAAATTTGACATCTTACTTTTTCAAGATTTATCGGTTAGTTTTAGCGGTACACTGTCTGAATTTCACTTGGATTTTGAGATTTTTTTTCTCTATTACTAATCTTGTTTTCCAATAGTTTGGTTGGTGAATGCGTTTCTATGCGTTCATTCTATCTATTCAATTTTCCACCAAGCTTTCCCGGCTCCTTCCAACCTGGAACTCATAGGCAGCACCAGTTCCTCCCTGACGGTGGCATGGGAACCTCCTGAGGGCGTTGAAGTGGTCAACTACAAGCTGACGGTGGCTGAGGCTCAGCTGCCTGACGACATTGAAAGGAATGAGTATAAGCTGGAAGGACCCAAGGCTCAACTCTCTACTCTTGCAGCCACCACGTATACCCTGCCTGCCGAGCTTCATAGTTACACAATTAAAAACCTGAGACCTGGATATAAATACCGCATTGGAGTAAAGGTGTGTGTCTTATCCCAGGTGTCGTGTGTGTTTAAATAAATAAGTTTGAAGCAATGCTGCATTAAGAATATGTTTAAAATTTTTAGTAACAACCAGCCAAGGGCTTCACTAACAATTAAAATAGCAGAAATATAATTTATTCATTTTATAAAATAAATGGTTTTTCACTCATTTACTGTAATTCCTCCAGTCACTGGGAGTAAAGAACCATCAATTATTTCAGACGGTTGATGCATCCGGGTCAGAAAGTAACGAAGCAGGAATATTTGTTTCAACGAACAACGCGGATGGTGAAAATTCTGGAAAAGAAGGGAAATCCACAGCGCCATCTCCACCAGAATCCACAGCAGAGACAGATGGTAGCCAAGGCGGGGGTGGAGATATTGTTTCGGACAAAACGTATTGGGTTATCATTGCTCTGTCGATCGTTGCATCCATTTTGGGAATAGTTGCATTCATATTTATTTTCGCTTTCTGCTGTTGCAAAGGGAAGGCCTTTGTTGGGAAAAACAAAGAAAAAATCATCAGAAAAATGGGTAAGTATATCCCGGATTTTTCTAATGACAATGTAAATCCTGCACATTTCCCGAAAGAAGGCGCCGTCAGCGATCCAGGTGCTCGCCTTCTGAGTCAAGGTGTTGCTCCAAAATCCGAGATTGTTTAGATTATCTAAAAAAGTGTCCAGAATAATCTTTGCATTATTATTAGCATAAGATAGAAACCAAAACAAAAAGGCATAAATGGAATTAAATTGATTTGTATGATTAATTTTACTCATATTTATTTTAAGCAGTGACTGCGGAAATAACAAAATTCTACGGTGCACCCATTTCATCTTGCTGTAACATGAGATAGATGCACATTTTGGTTAAATTTTTCGGATGCACTATAGAATATGAGCAGAGAGCTTAATTGCGTTTATTGATCTAAATAGATTTTCTAGGTGTCCATGGTATGAATTGAATGACAAAGATTGAATAAATTTTATATGGATTGGCGTCAGCCCTAAATAAAGTCTGCCCATTATTTTCTAAGCAAGAGTCTAGTGACACTTATGCAAATTACCCTCGTTTTTTCCGAACTGCTTTATTAAGACAAGCCAAGGAATCATACGTATTAAATTCATTTGTTGAACAATCTTAAATTTCAGAGGGCATATAGTAATAAAGTAAAAACAACGCTATGCGCTCATAAACCTGGATTTCTCATAAAATCGAGGGTATTTATTCCTACATGAGTTGCGATTATTTTATCGTAAAGGTCCAGTATAGTGCCTTTATTATCTAATCGGCGAGTCAGAAGAGACTTCAGAATGACTTTTTTTATCGTCGAGAAAATATATTCGTGGATCAACTTGCAATTCTTGCATATGTATTATGCGTTGAAGTTTCTTATAAACTAAAAAAGAAGCAAACATGACAAATTTATATCATTTTACAACTAAAGTTTTAGGTTAAGATAAAAAATAGTTTATTTTGCCACCTGCATGCTATCTTAGAAGTTCCACTAAGATCGTTAAATTTAAACTAATGTTTTTAATCTTTTTTGATTTAATGAACAAATTTTTAACTGAAATGTAAAAGTGTATCTTCATGTTGCTTGTTGAAAATATATACATGTATGAGGCCATTAACGAACTTTATTTTATTAATTTTTGTGCATAATTACTATCTATTTTTGTACATGATTACTCTAAGTTCTTAATTGAATTATCCTGTCGACGTCTCATCGTCACTTCAGTTGTACTAGGATTATTCTTCCCTTTGATGAGCTGCACTGCAGGTCCAACCCAACGAAAAAATGTACGTGTGCAGTAAAATCGCCTATAAAATGACAATAGTGTTCATTCTGTCTTTATTGTTTCGAATATTTAGGACGTACATCTTCTTGTTAAAAACACTGATAAGATATAACGCTTCATTTGTGTTTAGTCGTAATTTGTGTCTTTAGATGCGCCAGTGTTTGATTGATGAGTCATTTGTTATCATCAAATATATTGAAACTCATATGAAATTACAAAATGAGAGAGGATTTTGTTAATGATTGAAATGGCAACTTTTATAAATTGTTTCAACACAGATTGTCAATTAAATCCTGAATTTTACTTTAAATCCTGAATATACTGCGAAATTTTTTCTATAATATTTTACAACAAGAGTATGAGATTATAATAAAGATTTGTTACCTGAGCTTTCGTTCTATAAAACACTGCCTTAATGAACACCATAATGAACAGTTTATAGGTAGTAAAATGCTTATATTAAAAAATGCGATCGCTTTAAATATAAATTTCTTCATAAAGAATATGACATTATGCAGTTAATTTGAAATTTTGAATTGATTGTTGAGAAAATAATTATGATGTAATTGATACCTCTGCGGTAGCCATTGCAAAAAAAATTCCACTTAATCTTGTGACGGGTCACAGAATCGAAAATCAATCGCCAGTATATCAGCTCCCTCTACTTCATTGAACTTCAGGTAGGCTCGAGATAAGCTGTCACTCTAACTACTACGTGCGCATGGTGGAAAATCTGGAAAAGAATGGAAATCCACAGCGTCATCCCCACCAGAATCCACAACAGAAACAGATGGCAGCCAAGCCGGGAGAGAAGATATTGTTTCGAACAAAATGATTCAGGTTATTATTGCTCTGTCGATTGCTGTCACCATTTTCGTAATAGTTGCATTCATATATACTTTTGCTTTCTGTTGTTGCAATGGGAAGCCTTTGTGGAGGGAAACACCGAAGGTTCATCAGGGAAATTTGACAACGCCGACTCAAGTGATCGCCTTCTGAGTCCAGGTGTTGCTCCAAATCCTGGGATTGTTTAGATTACGCGCAAAAGTGTCCAGAATTTATTTTTTATTTTTATTAGCGTAAGATAGAAACTGGAGGGACAAGGCATAAATGGACTGTGATTTATATGATTAATTTAATTCATATCAATTTTATGCAGTGACTGCAGAAATGACAAAATTTTACGGTGCACTCATTTTAATTTGATGTTAAAGGAGATCGATGCATTTTTTGGTTACAAATTTAAGTTGCGCAAGTGAATATAAGCAAGGAGCTGTGTAGCGGGCCAGCCTTGGCCGCGCTTAAAATGCTGTTAGTTTTATTCAGCCGCCGCACCTCTCTGACACAGACTAATGAGAAAAAGTTAGAGTAGATAGTGTTCTCGAGAAGCAACTGATAGGAGTAGGCAGCCTACCCTTGCCTCACTAACCACCTTATAAAGTCTGTACATATCTGTGTATGATGTCTGTAAATTATCTGCATTCGTGAACCTACTTGCATTTAGTTTAAAATCTATTGTCGTCCTTGTGGTTTCTCTATGTAATTCAAATATACGTTGTGGCCTATGAAACTTCGTTGATCAAGTCTGATTAATCCTCGTGCGCTAGGGCCCGCGGGCAGAGACCCAGTAACTTTGTATATGGAGCGTAGTTATCCCGCTACATATAATTTGGTGGCCAGTATGGGGATTAATTTTTTCGGGGGAGATATTTGAGCGCATTAACTTCTGAAGTTGATTGAACGACTTTCATATGTTGTATCGAGTTAGAGACCTGTATTCTGCCAATCTGCACTAACCACCTTGTTCGAAATGTCAGAGTTGCTTGAGCGATTGTTGTCCTGCCTTATGAACTTGGGAAACGTCATTGAAGAGTTGAAGCGTGAAAACTTAGCTGTGTCGACTCGGCCCGCTCAATTACAGGATCTAAGGCGAACACGCTATGGTGCTTACGGCAGAAGACATAGAAGGACCTTGGTCTTCACCAACTCCAACCGGAAAGTTTGTAAGACGTGCGGACTACGGGGCCACGTATCGACGAAGTGCGCAGGCGATTCGTGTTTTCTTTGCTACAAGCCTGGACACAGCTTGGGGGATTGCCCGGAAATGGACACCCCAGCAATGCTGTTTGAGGAGGAACCTGTGCACTATCGTGAGGCTTGTGATGACCAACTGAGATTGACATCTGCTGTGGAGTTGCACTCCGTAGAGTACGAACTGAACCTTTCAGCACTTCCTGCTTCAGTGATCGCAGTTGATCAGATTGATATGACTGACCTTTCTTTGGCAGTTCCGGCTCGGCAACCACTACTGGAACCAGCCCCGGAAGTTTCGTCTGGAGTAGGGTCCCGATTGCCGTCCTTGACTAAGATACCTTTATTTCCTATAACGTACGTTGAACCGTGTGAAGATCCCATGTCAGAATGCAGTTCTCCAATAAGTTCTCGTGGAGAAATGCCAGACCCGGCTTCACGGACGGTATCAGAGAAGTTGGGCGGCTCTGGCTTCGGCAGGAGGTCATCTTCCAGCGAGATACGGTTGTGGCAATGGAGCAGCGAGAACGACCTTCCTGGGACGTCGAGTCGTATTAGCGGAACTGATTGCACGACCCAAGTTTCGGACACGTCGGATGAATCGGAGTCAGATTACTCGTCTGATGCAGGGCGGCGAGCCTCCAGTTCTAGACGCAGGCGACGTCGAGGGCGAAGACGGAACGACTCCCCAGCGGAATTCTCGCAGTCCTTGGAAACTATTAGAATGCGTCGGCATGAGACGCTTCAGGAGTTCGCAACACGCCTGGAGGACGCATACTATCATTGTTATCCCGGCAAGAACATTGAGAAGAGTCGTGAGCTGGTGGAGAAGTTCATCGTTTCTTGTCGTCCAAAATTTTATGACGACCTGTGTAGCGTAATTGAGATGAAGCGAATGCGGAAAAGCTCGAATTGGGGTAATATGAAGAGGTGTCTTTCGAAACTTCCTGAGCGTATTTCGTGACTCGTCTAGTGTTGTCAATTGCTTGGAATTTTGTGAACGTAGGACTGTTAATGTATTAACTTGAAACTTGGAGCCGAGATGCCTTAATAGGCTAAACGTTGTGAAAGTAGCATTCTCCAGCGTGATCCTTGGTCTTGGTGGGGGAGAATGTAGCTGCGCTATTTGTCCGTCATTTGTTTACCAGGTTCACGCTGGCAATGTGTAGAATGGGCAACGTTGACTCCCATTTATTTTATTCGCTCAGCGGTTGCGGTTGTGGTGGCCAAGGCTCCGTAACGTGTATTCAGTTGAATGTCGATAATTTTTTAGCCTCAACTACCTGTTTTGTCTATTCATTTGTTGCAACCATTTTACCTCTCACGATTTCCTTTTGAGTGGCGGGTAAGCTTATTAGCCGATAGTAAGAATTTTGTCTTCCTAGTTTATGCTGCTATAAAGTGCTGTGGTAATACTAAGCATGAACAGGCTCAATACCAATGGCTGGGAAGTTAATGATTTCAATTTATATATTTTACCTCGTGTTCCTTAGATCAATTCTGATATATTCCCAATTGAGTTCCTCTGTTCCAGTAATTTAAGGGTAAACTTCACGTTTATTTTCCCGTGCAATTGTTGATTATTTCAGGTGGAAGTGGGCTCTTTCTACTATAAGTCTACCTACGTACCTGAACCTACTCTGAGTGAAAAGAAAGGGTGTCTAGTGTTCTGCATTGGTGAATGCAACCGTGACCATAGCTGAATTTCTGGATAGGACACTGGCAGCCCAAAACTTCGTCAAGCAATGATTGTGATAAGCGGATGCGCTTAGGTCTACTACGTCAGTGTGACGCACTAGTCTCGACGGACATGTTGCGAACCTTCATCGACTGAAGAAGATACGCAGAAGACGTCGGGCTGCCAAGCATGACCAATGTATTTGTTTGACTTTAGGTTATCTGTGTTGTTTGGCTTGTGGATGTACTGGTAGTGAGATTACTATTTTTTGTGAGTGAGCCACCTAAGGGACTTAGTTTTAGCTTCGCAATAAAATCTTGCAAGTCTCAACTCTGAACGAATCTGGTTTTAATCAATTTTCACTATCGCCAACCTAATAGACGGCGATAGCCTATATTATGTTGATAGCTCTCCCGCAACAGCTGGACTGTGTTTATTGATCTAAATTTTTTGACAATATCTGTAGAACAGATTCAAATTTTACAAACGTACAATATCAGATGTCAAACTGAGATTCCTTTTTATGTTCTTAGGATGGTTGTGGCTCAGCGCTATGTTCAAAATATGCAATTTAGGGCACTCATTCATAAGTAAGATATAGGGTATTTGACATATCAATGCTGCGCACTGTTAAAGGAAAACCCCTATTACAACACTTCTCTTAAACTTCACTTCTTGTTTGTTTGTCTGCTACACATCTTGTAATCGAAATTTAATACACTTCTACTTATCCTATCGATCTGAAATTTTGCACACTTGTGTAAAGTTGGAGACAATACATGAATCAAATGTCTAATAAATGATTTTAAAAATGAAATTTTTTTTTCAATATTAAAAAATTTAAAAAATAATTTTGTCAGCTACAAATCTTATAACTGATATTTGACACACTTTTCCCTGTCTAATTGATCTGAAATTTTGCACACTTGTGTGAAGTCAGAGGCAATGCATAATCAATTAACAGAATAAATAATTTTGGAAAACAAATTTATATATTAAAAAAATTTTATATTAAAAAATTTGAAAAGATAATTTTTTTAATATTCGAAAATTAAATGAGAAATTCATTGTACATCTGTAAGATTGGAGACACTGGATTCTTTGGAAGTGTTGTCTTTAAAAAGTAATTTTTAAACGTATATTATTTTTAAAATACAAATAAAATTGAAAAATTCTAATTAATTCATTTTGATTTATTCCTTTTTTGCACATTAGTCGAACGCCCGGTATTTATGGTGGATTTTATTAAATTCTTTGAATCGCTTGGTTTCCAGCTGCATGAAAGGTGCTTCATGAAGTGAACTGACAAAATAACATCACATGCAGGTGTGGTCTCATCAGTGGAGACGACTAAGACAAGAGGTTACTCACTCGCTCAAGTCTAGCCCTCCTTTATAGGTCCTCGTGATGGGAACGCCAGCTGAAACTTACGGCCCGAAACTTATGCTAAAATTTACAGTTACGTGAGTTCTTTCTTTCCTGGTCTACAAACTGCGGACTATACAGCTAGGTGCTGTTACGGTTGCTGTACGTGTAGCAGCCGGTGTTCCAACTGTTCATATCTACTACATATCTAGTACATATCTAGTAA